CTGTAATTTTAAAAAGACAGCAATTTACAGTTAAAGGATTCAGAACAAAAACGTCAGCTACTTGAGTCCAGATCAGCTAGGACAGATAATAGTCAATAACGCCTTGTTTGTATGTTTTTAAAGAAAAATCCTTAACTTGCAAATCAAGCTGAGAATTAGATCTACAAATGGAAGGAATTTTCAGTTAAGACAGACTGATATGACAGCGTGATTTTCTTTGTTGCACCCATGTTTTGCAAGTGCAATGTTGCATTGCCAAAAACATACTAGGTGCATTATACATAATTAAGGTTACAAGAACTCTGTCCCAAAGCAAACAGCAGATCCTTCAGAGAGAGAGAGTGTATGAACAGGGGAGCATGGCTAGAGTAATCCATCCCGTCACCGCTTCCGTGGCATCAGCCATCATTGGTTTAGAGATGTCAGGTGATACATCCCTGATTGCTTTATATAAATTCCCCAAGGAACCTGTCCTCCACGAATGTGTCTAATTCTGTTTTAAAGATAAACACTGACCATTAAGGGTTCACCATCTCTTATTATTATGTCTGCATAATAATTAGTATATTAGAGTATTATTTCCTGGGTGCAACCAGAATACAAGTGAATATTTTTTGGAACAATATGGGATTACTGCAATGATGAAATCATCAGATGATGAAATCTAATCTACAGGAAGTTGTGCACCTGGGCAAAGAAAGGCAATAGCTTTTCTGCCCTACTTTTTTGAGCACTGTTACTGTGTCCTGACTTAAAAGTTTATATTGTCCTCATCACATTGTATCTTAAGGGACCAATTTGTCAAGTATTTTCTCTCTGCTTTCCTTCTCCCCACTGCCTTGACAGCCTGCATGTAATCAACCAAGGCAACAGTGTTCCAGGTTTTTGTTTTGTGCTGCTTAATGTGGATTTAAGAACATTAGAAGAGTGGCAAAGTTTGTTTTTGTAACATGACTATTTAAACAACTAGGACTTAAAAATGCCTTTGTTCTGAGATCACCACTTCATAAGGCTGATATAGTGATACAGCACTACTATGTAATATTGTGCACATGTGTGTTCATTCACACACATACATCAAAGAGACTTGATGACATTGTGTAACCATAAAAGCAAAGCTCAAGTTATTTGCAGTGTCACAGGAAACCTGTTATGTGCGCAGATTCTCTTACAGTTTTCCTGGTGTATGTGTTGCACTTCAGAATCCCACACCTTATCCCAGTGGTCCAAAATGTCCATTTTCAGCAAGTCTTCATAAAATTTTGCTGAGAAACATAGGAAACAAGGAAACTAGTTTCGTTTGATTTGCTTTTTGATTCCTTTTTAAAAACTTACAGTTTTGAGATTTGAGTTTTAAATCTTAATCAGGTAGGGTATGCTTCACCATGGTGGCGTGCAGCTCCCAGCGGCAGCACCAAGCTTCCTCACCTGGTTCCACTCTGCCCTGCTGTGCCATGTCCTGCCTACTGGGCTGCAGAGGCCCCGGGGAGAGAGCAGTAGAGCGGGGAGCTTGAGCCTGCTGTGGGCAGCCCACAACCACCGGCCCACGGGCTCGGCACTGGCTGTGCCACCTGTGAAGGAGGGGGAGGTGGACTCCACGCTCTGCTCCACTGCAGCAACTGCCGCCTCGCATGGGTGCTGCTCTAGGGGGCAGGGCTGCAGACCCAGGTCCCTGGCCCCATAGCCCTGGCAGCAGAGGGCCGCCTCTGGCAGGGTTGGGGGTGTGGGGCTGTGGGTGGTGTTTGAGGGGCACCAGCAAGGCCAGTGGGCTGTGGGTAGGGAATGAGGGACACCAGAAAGGCTGGTGGGCTGGGGGTCAAGACTGAGGGGCAATGGCATGGACAGGGCACCAGCATATCAGGGCTGCTTAGTGCCACAAAGTAGTGGCAGGGGAGCAGGGGGACAGCCACAGCTGGACCCACATCCTGGTGAGAGAATAGGGCAGAGGAGCTCTGATTTTCCATGATAAAAAAACAAAAATCAAATGCCAAAAATTATAGGTACAGTACAACCTCATAAATCCGGATATCAAAATCTGGCACTTCCCCCCACCGCTTAAGGACCAGCCACTGCTCCCCCTCACTCTCCTGGATGTAGAGGGGGAAGCTTGCATGCAGCAGCTACTGCCACCATTCACCACCCTGTGCTGCCACCTTGCATGCAACCACTGCTCTGGGTCCAGCCACCGCTACCCCCTCCCCTTTCCAGCAGGTGCTTGGTCCCGAGCAAATTTCCGGCAGGTGCTTGGTCCCGAGCGTGCCGGTTTTATGAGGTTATACTGTATTTAGAAAATTTATTTTATTATAGTGGATGAGGTCCTGGTAGGCTTCCAAATTGCTTTAAAATTGTACATATGTCAATAAAACATTGTGTTCAACTGATACTTATATATATATATATAGTGGTGTTTCATTTCAATCATGGCAAAATGCAGATTTTGAGGGTTTTAATCAGAGAATTTGTGATTTTTAAACAGAGAAAACCAGGATCCCTATAAGCTATCATCTACTGGCCCAAGATGCAACCTACAGTCAGCCAACAGCCAAAATTCCAAAATAACAGGTGCAGTAATAACAAGTGTATTGGTGTAGTTTGGGGGGTGTCAAACATACAGCCCATGGGCCACATGTGGCCTGTTAAGATGGGTCAGCTGGCCCACAGGGCTGGATAACCCATGCCCATGAGTGTAATGCAGCCCATGGGGCATATCGCCTTACCTATGTAAGCAATTGTATCAGCATGGCTCTGGAATCCAGGAAGTTAATGCCTGCTGCTGCCTGCTTTCCCTTCCCTGACCTTAGCCTCTGCCAAAACTGGTTTGGTCACCTTTAGCAACTTAAATCAGCCACAGGGAAAGGTGCATAGGAGGAGCAAGCAGCAGTGGAATTAACCCCCTCGGTTCCGGAGCTGTGCTGATACAATGGCTTTGGTAGCTACAGGGTTTAACGCTGTGGTCAGAGATGGATCGTCTGGCTGGTGAGGAGCTCTGTGATCTGAATCCAGCCTATGTAGCTGAATGAGTCTGACATCCTTGAAATGAAGCCTGTCATACACATACAGTAGTAGCTTTATATTCATCATTGCCTTCAGTAATTGAGGGTTAGTTTTGCTTTCACCAGTTTTTGGATTTCTTCAGAGACCACTTAAAATTCCTAATCTGTCAAAAGAACAAAGGCCTCTTTTAATAATGAATCGTAATACTTATGGCCTCCAAACTTATGCATCTGAATACTCTCAATTTACGTGCCATCATATCCATAATACAGTTCTGACAGGAGTAACAGAATAATATGCACGAGTTTCAAATAAAGTAAGATCCCTGTAGGGATTATTGGATATAACATACATGTGGTGATTTCAGTGGTAAGTGAATATTGTAAGGCCAAGTCCCTGGACTAACAGTCTCCAACATGGGCTGCCTGTTCTCTTTGTTGTTATTTATTTTTGCAGCACCCCAAGTTACACTGCTATTCACTGCTTGTCACTTTTGACTGCATCTAAGCAGTGGTGAACCTCTTGAGATATGCAGAGGGCCATGGGAGAGGAGGCATGGCTGAAATCAAGAAGGGGAAGAGAAGAAGACAGCCAACATAAGAGAAGAGACAGAGAGAGGGAAGGAGAAGTAGCTATCCCAGTTTTAATGCTCATGGGAGCATTATATGTCTTAGTCTGTTTCTGCTCCTAATCTAAATAACTGATCATAGTTGTATTGATTGTGAAAGAATCTCAGCCAAAATAAATAAATGAGAGAGCATCCTTCCTAAAATGTTGGCATGAACTTGTAAGCCCATCCCCCTGCCTACATATTGTCAGCCTGAGCATTGATATGGGGGAAATCCCTTAACGGACAAAACTATAAATGAAACCACTGTTGGCAGGAGAAAAGAAATAGCTCAATTTAACGGAAGTATTTTCATTTGAGAGTTGCTGTTCTTTCCTCCTAGTTGTCTAGCCGGTAGAGAGTGCTAGGGTGCTTCCTGTTTGAGACAGTGCAAGGGTGGTTTCCCCAAAGCTTCTAATGTTAGAATAATGCTCTGGAGACATTGCGGTGATAAATGGGTTCCTTCAGTTATATCTGCGTCCTGTTCTCCCTTCCCCATCCTGCATGTGAATACAGTTGCACAGTCCAGGCATTCAGCAAAACCATAGCTCTCTCCTTTGTAAGAAGTAACAGTTCTGACCTGTTTCCTCCAGTATTTCAGCTGCAGTGCCTTCTTGAAAAGTTTATCTACTCAGTCCATTAATTTGAGGTTCAGAGCTCCTTGTTATCAGCCGCTTCCTAGGAAGATGACAAAAATGAAATGGGGAGTTTATGATTAACAGAGAAGAGCTAGTGAATTGGCTTGTCGTTTGTGATGTGCCACATTCTATTTCATTATTTTTTACTTTTGCTGTTCATTTCCAGATAATAGATCCAAGGGAGTGGCCCCCGTCATCTTGTTGATTCATAGTGTAATGATTTTGTTCTGGATGTCAGATTATAGCTGGTAATAAAAGCTGCAGGAAGAGGATTCAGTATTACTTATCTTCTGTAATAGATCGTGCCCCCTTTCCCTCCTGCATATGTTGCAACTATGCTTTGACCAGATATGACTTATACATTGATAGAACTGTAAGGCTTCTGGAAAGCTTGATACTATAACCTAGGCAGGAAAGAAAACATAGGAGTAATATTGCTATTAGTTAGCAGCGCCCTGAGGTTGGTTCCTATTCTTCTTCTTTCTTTAAAAAAAAAAAATCAGCGTATTTGTGTTTGACACTGTGTGTGTGTTTCCATTTCTATATAATTTCATGTGCATATGAAATGCGATTGAAGGGAAGAGCAAAAAGAAATAAAGATGGTTCTCTTAACCTATTTGACCCAGTTCAATCAACTTGCATTCTTCTATTTATGTTTCCATGCTTTTCACAGTTGTGAACAATATTATTTTTAGATTTTAAAAGTTGTGTGTTGTTGATAAGTTAAGATTTCATATCATGGCTTCCTTTTCTGCTTCCAGGTTTTTCCCATTCGGCCTTCACATTCGGTATTGAAAGTCACATTAGTCAGTCCAACATCAACGGAACACTAGTGCCACCTGCTGCCCTCATCTCCATACTTCAGAAAGGTCTGCAATATGTGGAGGCTGAGATCAGCATCAATGAAGTAAGTATACTGATTGCCACAAGCAGAAAGTACACTTCTGTGATAACAGACGTGCTAGGAGTTGACATAAAATCCCATGTTTTAGTTTCTCTTAACAGTTCAGATGCACATGACAACTCCTGAGCTTTCCATAGATTGGCTGCATTTTATTCCTATGTTTTCACTGAAAAAACATCTGAAAGGCTCCAAGATGGTTCTTTTCAGTTTGTAGTTATTGTTCTAAGAATTTGTTAAATGACTTAAGTGGATTTGATTATGTCACTGGTATTTAGATAAGGAAGCTAAATATACACAGAGCCTTGCAATATATAAAAGAAGTGTTTTTCAAAAAGTTAAGTGAGAAAAGCATGCGGTGTAACTTAAAACTTCCAAGTGCTAACCAGCTACAAGAAACCTGATCCAAAATCCAGTGAAGTTAACAGAAAAATTCCTTTACATTTAGTAACAGATTTTGGATCACGTGCTAGAAAAGTTAAACATAATCAAATGGTATGACAGCTCAAGGCACTAGGAGCAAGGAGTTTGCTGATTGAAGCCTGGCTCTGTTGAATTTAGGCAAGTCACGTAACTTGACCTTTGAATGTGCCATTTCAAAATATACAATATTTTTTTGGTATCCTTCATTTATATATTAATATTATAGAAGCACCAAGAGAACATCTCTGTCTGCTAGCATAATGTCCTTTTAAGCTTGTTGGAATATACCGAGGTCTGTACAAGAAAAGCCAGTACTTCTGCCTCACCCAGCTGACCAATGTGAAAACACACTGAAATGAAACAAAGCACAGCAAAAAGACATTTGCTGTGTTACTATACTAATCAAACAGGCTCTTTACTACACATTACTGTTTATATAAAAAGCTGACGTGTCTCTTTATTGTCGAAGGTTAGTGCCTGAGCAGTATGGGTGAGGACAAAAGGGACTGGAGAAAGGGTGAAGAAGGACACATATTTTATAATATATGGTTTGGGTATTTGATGTTTCTTTTTAGAAGTGAAATTCTGTCTGGTTTTCTTTTTCTCTTAAAAAAGCTAACAATATTGTTTAGGTGATATATATATCTGTATATAGCTATATAGATATAGATATAAAAGCAATGACATCAGAGATTAATGCCAAATTATACAACCATATATTTGTAGGTAATAAAATATCTGTTGCTGTTTGACCTCATTTTCTACCACTTAACATTTTGCTGTATCCCTTTAATAAGAACCACATGGTTCTAATCCCTTGACTCAGATCTAATCTCTTGCCTCAGAAAATGGTACCACTACCAATTTAGTCTGTGTGCAAATATATGGGTCCACATGTGGGGTTTTTTCCTCTTTTTTTTAGCACTGATAACCACAGGGAAGTAAAAACAATGCACTGCAACTTACCTGAACTGTGCTTACTAATTATAAAGTATCTAGTGTCTGATTGTGTTATTTAACTTATTTAATTAAGTTGCCTAAAAATCCATGTCCCCTATTCATTTCACTGTATTTTATAACAAGTAAAATTATTGTCTCACAGAATTCTGAAGCAATACATAAAAGACAAAAAATAAGTAGATAGGACTGGAAATGCTTCATTGCTAATTGAAGCTTCAGAGAAGGTTAGATGCGACCTTAAATGCCTCAGCATTTTCTTTCACTCAGAAAATATTGATTGACCTTTGATGGTTATTTTTTAAATAAATCTCTCTCTCCTGATCCAGAATCCTCTCTTTGTCACTTCATCCCAGCTTTAGATCTCTTGCAATGAGGGAATCATTAGCTGCCTGATGTTTTGAAGTTTTGTTAGTTGTGTGCTGTCTGTGGCACAAACTTAAGAGCAGGTTGACATTGTGTACCTAGACTTCCAAAAGGCCTTTGATCTAGTATCTCACAATATCCTCGTGAAAAATTGGAGGATTGTGCACTTAACTCTGAGACAGTCAGGTAGGTGAGAAACTGGCTGCAGGATAGGACCAGATGTCATCCTGGTGAGAAGTGAGCAGCGGTGTCCCGCAGGGGTTGGTGCTTAGTCCAGTACTTTTGAACATCTTTATTAACAATTTGGATGTGGGGGTGAAGAGCTCACTGGCCAAGTTTGCGGACGACACCAAGTTATGGGGAAGCATGGTTTCGCTTGAAGATAGGCTGCAGATACAGGTGGACCTAGACAGGCTGGCAAGTTGGGCAGATTGGAATCTGATAAAGTCCAACATTGAAAAATGTAAAGTGCTCTACCTCGGGACAAGCAACCTCCAACATACCTACAGGCTTGGTGGCACCAAACTGGCTAGCACCATGAATGAAAGGGGCCTGGGAGTAATAACAGACCACAGTATGAATATAAGATGGCAGTGTGATGGTGTACCCAGTAGGGCAAATAATACTCTGGCATTCATCAATGGATGAGTCTCCAGCAAAACCAAGGAAGTGATTCTTCCACTCTATTCAGCACCGGTGATACCGCAGCTGGAGTACTGCATCCAGTTCTGGGCACCACACTTTAACAAGGACATGGACAAGCTTGAGAGAGTTCAAAGAAGAGCCACTCGTATGAGCAGAGTCTTAAATGGCAAGCCATACAAGGAAAGACTGAGAGATCTGGGACTCTTCAGCCTGAAGAAAAGAAAGCTGAAAGGGGACCTGGTAGCAGCTTACCGCTACACTAGGGGAGTCCATCAAGGGCTCAGTGAGCAACAGTTCAACAGGGCACCCAAGGGGAAAACCAGGAGCAATG